AGGAAAGGTTAAAAAGTCCAGGATTGTTTTCATTGGAAAGACAGCGGCTGAGAGGAGACGTGATAGAGGTCAAGCAAATTATGAGATGCATAATTGAGTGGATAGTCAGAGGCTTTTTCCCAAGTTTGAAGCTTCAATTACAAGGGGGCACAGGTTCAAGGTGAGTGGGCAAAAGTTTAAGGGAGACGTGCGAGGAAAGTTTTTCATGCAGAGAGTGGTCGTAGCCTAGAAGGCACTGCCAGAGGTGGTGGTGGAAGCCGGCATGTTGGTGACATTTAAGAGGCACCTGGATGGTTACATGAATAGGGAGGGAGCAGAGGGATATGGACTGAATAAAGGCAGGAGTTTTTTTTTTAGTTTAGCCAGGGGATGACGACGGCATAGACCTGGAGGGCCGAAGGGCCTGTTCCTGTGCCGTACTTCTCTTTTGTTCTTTTTGTTGTTCGTTGTTCTTTGTTCTATTATGTCATACTTAGGTCATTTTTTTTTCACAAGTTTAGAGCAAATTGAAAATATTACCCTGTGAGTTCTGTGGTGGTATTAAATAAAGAATTCTTTGAGTCCTCCAGGAAAGCACTTTGTTCAGACTGATTGTTTTGAATTTTTGTTTATTCCAATAATGAACTGTCATAATATTTCCTTATATACTATATAAAAGAAGTAACGTTTAATAAGTGAATTTTGTCTCTAGATTTCAGTCATGTTGAACTGTGCAAAAGCAAATACAATTTGAGCATAGTTTCTTATAAACTTATAGAAGTTTTAAAAATTATCACAAACTGAATCAAATTTACAATTTCAAAAACATTGGATGGCATGCTTGTAACATTTCTCATGTTACTACTGTCTTGATGAAGTTCAATTTTGTGAGTTCAAACAGTCATGAGCAATGACTCGGTTTTTTAAAAAAAATGTGGTAAAAATTATTAGCTGTTTCAATTATGAGGATATCAAAGCAAAGTCCCGATCCTAGCTTTGTGCATTTGTGCACTTTCCAACAGTGACCAGTAGAAAATAGTCAAGAGCAACAAGTTTTTCTGATTGATTTTTTTCAACTTTTTTAATACAGGGAAGCAAGGCAATTGGAGAACACAGTTTTGTTCTCTTTACCAACCAGAAGTTTAGGTTGGAGTATTAGAACCTATTAATTTATTAGACATTTTATTAGTTTGATGACCAGGTAGCCTTCCCCTGAATAGATATTTATGTTTTTATGTTGCTTTCACAATGTATTCTGTGTCATAATTTTCTTTTATAAAAAAAATAATAGATGACTGCTTTTGCAGGAACTAATACTGTTTAAAGAATAAAGATACTTTTATTTTGACAGAGAATATTGAAGTACAATTTTGGAGTATCCTTTTGTAATCATTAATTGTTTAATTGCCACTGAGCCAGTGATGCCCATGTTCCACAAATTAATCATAAAAAAACAAATTAAGAATAAGAAAAATTACTGCTGTAATCTTTGATGGGCTCTGCTCTTTCCCTATATATCCTTTTACCCTTAATGTACTTATAAAATAACTTTGATTTTTTTTCTTTATTTTACCTGCCATTATTCTTTCATGCCAACATTTTGCTCTCATAATTTCCTTTCTTTTCCAAGTTTCTCCTTGCACAGTTGTAGAATCATACAGTACAGAAGAGGCACTTTGGCCTATCAAATCTATACTCCTCTATGGCTTCTGTAGTTTTGAGACCTCAGTATCTGCCAAAAGCCTCCCTTTTTCTCTTTTTCCAATCTTGCATACCCTGTTATATGCAGGGTTCGTAGGATATTTGGTCCCACCCTTTGTCTTTATTGAAACATGTTGACCCTGTACTCTCCCTGTTTCGTTCTTGAATACAACCCATTGCTGTGACACAGATTTATTTGAAAATATTCAGTCTTGGTCAGCTATAGTTTATTCACATCTGATCTTATAAAAATCCAGTATCTCTCTGGTTTTGAACTTGGATTTCAGAATTAGAATTAGATTTTATTGTCACGTACTCAAATACAGGAGTACATGAGTACCGTGAAAAGTACACAATCACCATTCCCAATGCCAGCATGGCTTATTAGCCATTCCACTTTTCAAGAAGGCTAGTAGAGATGAACCAGGAAATTACAGATTGGTGAGTCTCACATCAGTGGTAGGGAAGCTTCAAGAAAGTTATGAAGCAGAGAATTCATATCCACTTCGAAAGGCATGGTTTAATTAGGGATAGTTAACATGGCTTTGTCAGAGGGAGGTCATGCCTGACAAAGTTGTTAGATTTTTTTGAGAATGTGTGATCATGTGTGGATGAGGGACGTTCAGTTGATGTAGTTTATATGGATTTTAGCAAAGCTTTAGACTAGGTCCCACAAGGATGACTAATTGAGAAGGTTAAAGCACATAGAATTGAGGGAAACGTGGTGAGATGGATTATAAATTGACTAAGTAATAGGACACTAAGGTAGAAGGCTCTTTGAGTGTCTGGAGGCCTGTGTCCAGCGGTGTCCCACAAAGATCAGCACTGGGACCCTTATTGTTTGTTATATACATAAATGATACAGATGAATATGTGGGAGGAATGTTAAGCAAGTTTGCAGGTGACATCAAGATTGGTAGAGTGGTTAATAGTGGAGAAGATAGTTGTAGGTTGCAGAAGACTATAGATGGGTTGGCCAGATGGGCAGAGCAGTGGCAGATGGTAATTAACCTTGAGAAGTGAGAGGTGATGCACCTTAGAAGAAGAAACAAGATGAGGGAGTATTTAATGACAGGTAGGACACTGGGTAGCTTGGTGAAACAGAGATCTTGGGGTAATTATTCACAGATCTCTGAAGTCAGCAGGGCATATAGACGGCATATAGGATGCTTCCTTTGATCAATCTTGGCATTGAGTATAAGAGCAAGGAGGTAATGTTGGAGTTGTCCAGAGCGTTGGTTAGACCACAGCTGGAGTACTGGGTGCAGTTCTGGTCACCTCATTACAGGAAGGATGTTTGATAGCACTAGAGGGGGTACAGAGGAGGTTCACCAGCATGTTGCCGAGGATGGAAAAATTGAGCTGCAAGGAGACAGTTGAAAGGCTTGGATTGTTTTCTTTAGAGCAGCAAAGACTGAAGGTGGGGTTGAACATGATTGAGGTTTCTTACAATATGAGGAGTATGGACAGGATGAATAGTATGCAGCTATTTCTCCTGCATGAGGGGTTAATCACAATGGGCATAGCTTTAGGGTAAAGGGCAGGATATTCAGAGAAGATTTGAGGAATTTTTTTTTCCACTGGTGGGAGTCTGGAATGCGCTGCCTGGGAAGGTAGTGGGGGCTGGAAACCTTACAATCTTCTTTAAAAAAAAAAAAAAAAAATAAAAAAAAAAAAAATTTGGATGAGCGCTTGAAATATCATAACATTCAAGGAGATGGGACAAGGGCAGAAAATTGGGATCAGTGTGCCTTTAGTGGCAGCTATGTCACTGCAGACTCGATGGGCTGCAGGGCCTTTTCTGCGATCTATGAGTCTATGACTCTATTACTTTTACACTTCTTTGAAAGTTACCACATATTTCCTGTTCCATTTCTCTTGGACTGTTTGGGGGCCATTAGGGTTCTATGCTCTGTGTCCCACTGCCTAATTAGTTTAAACTCCTCCCTACAGCTCTCGTCACCCTACCTGCATATAACTGTTCTGGTTCAGGTGCAGACCGTCCTGATTGTAGAGGCCCCACCTTCCCCAGAAATGGTCCCAGTGATCCAGCAATCTTAAACCCTTCCTCCTGTACCAATTACTGAGCATACATTCATTGATCCTATTCTTCTTCCTCTGTTTTCACTAGCATGTAGCACTGGGAATAATTCAGAGATTACAACGTTAGTTGTTGTCTGTATCTTCTGAGAATTGTGAATCTTCAGACTTTTAACTCCACAAAGTTGAGCAATTGTGAGTTATTGAACATTTTCAAGACTGACAAAGATAAATACCTGGAACTGCAGTGGAATTGAAGATTATGGGTGCAGGCTGGAAAGTAGTTTTGAGAATCAAGTGAGATCAACCATGAATTTAACATGCCCCTGCTGCTTTAAGGCCTCATTTAAAATTGGCTTGAGATCCTTTTTTTGAGTTGATCTTCATTAAAATTGAACAGCTTAACAGTTTACAATTTCATTTATAATTTTTTTATGTCTCCAGAGCCATACATTAAGAAAGATGAGGGCAAATTTTAAAATTTGCAGAAAATATAATTGTTTAGTTTGCGAAGCAGAAAATCCTAAATTGAGTTCCTGGACTGTGTTGGGTTATTCAGTCCTGACCAACATCAGTGTGCTTGATCTGTTGAAAGAAAGGCGGCTTCTGCTGGAATATGTATGTTACAGGATTAAACTCAGCTATGATAGCTGCCAAAAAAGATTTCCATTTATATCATGTCTTTCAGGATGTGTAAGATTGAGTGTTCCTAATCACTTTGAAGCCAGTCAAGTACTTTTGAACTTTGTAATCCAGAAAATATAATAGCCACTCATGAACGGATTCTAACTGCAAACATGTGTGCTAATAATATTGATAGAGAGGTGTATCTTTACCAGGTAATCAGGGATAACTCATCTTCACTTTTTCAGAATAGTCCAAGGGATCTTTTACATCCACTTGAGGGGGCAGTATCTCATTTCAAGTAAACTTCTGATAATGCAGTGCTCCTTCAGTATTGCACTAGGTTATCAGCTTTGGTCTTTATCCTCTGGTCATGGACTGGGATTTGAACCCACAATCCTCTGACTCAGGTTAGAGTGCTACTGACTGAGCACATGACTGTTGCAATCAACAATATTTTGAGCTAACACTGAATGTTATGTTTGGTAAATGAGGACAATGCCACTCTAGAACTGTATCTCACTGTGTACTGCCTACAGCAGAGGAAGGAAAATGGACAGCCTGCTCAATTTCTCTTCAAATAGATTACTAGCTTTTTTTGAAAAATGTATCCAATGAAATTTTTTTTGATTTTCATGTCCAACTTTTGTAGGTGAGTCAAGATGGGAAAGCTTTGTTAGATAAACTTCAGCGACCTCTGACACCTGGCAGTGCAGACTCACTGATGGCAACAGCCAATTATTCAAAAGCTGTTCATCATGTCTTGGACATTATTCATGAAGTCCTTCATCATCAAAGACAGCTTGAGAACATCTGGCAGCACCGAAAGGTTCGACTTCACCAGCGACTTCAGCTTTGTGTTTTTCAACAGGATGTGCACCAGGTTGGTGCTAAGGTTTTGCTCTTAATGTAAAGTGAAAGCAATGAAATGTTTTTAATTGCCTGTTCTTCTAACTCTGCTGCAATTTTTCAAATCTTGCATTTTCAGTAGTTTCTGAAGGAAAATCAACAGCCAGTTAGACAATTATCAAGAAATTGTGTGCATTGGTGGTGTTTTAGGACTGTTGATAAAATACTGATGTATATTGTAATTTTTAAACGAGTTCCATCTTTGAATGTTTCTTTTCTTTTTGTGGAAAGCCACTACCCCTACATTTTTGAAGTCATAGCAAGAGGTACTGATTTAAAGTTATGACTTGAAGGATATGATAGTTTAGCAGTTTTATTACTTGACTCATAATCTGGATCCCTAAACTAATAGTCCGCTCATATGAGCTCACATCCCAAAATGGCAGTGGGGAATATAATTTGCTTAACTAAATTAATCTGAATTTTTAAGGTCTTAGCGAAAACTTGTAGCTTGGGTTATAGATGCAGTTGTTTGTTAGCTTACTGAGCCGGTTATTCTGTGGTGTGCAGATGTTTCATTACTTTTCTAGGCAACATCATCAGTGGAACCTCTAATCGAAACACTGGTGTTCTGCTTTCTTCTGGATTTTACATAAACCTCTGGTGTGATGGTCTAGTCGCTTTTGGTTCTGTTGTTTTAGCAGCGGTCTGTAAACAGAGTCTATTTCTATGTGTGTGTTAATGGAGTCCCGTATTGAGAACCAGGCTTGCACCTGTCGGTTCTGAGAAAGGGTCACCAGATGCGAAACGTTAACTCTGATTTTTTTCTTCCAGCAACTTCTGTTTTTGTTCCTGATTTACAGCATCCATGGTTCTTTTGGTTTTTATTTGGACTCTGTATTAATGACCATGAAATTATGGGATTGTCATTACAAAAGGCTTTTGAGCAAGGAAATCTTCCTTTCCCAGTCTGGCCTCTACTTCTTCATACTAGACCAACAACCATGTTCTTGACTCTTAACTATTTTCTGAAATTGCTTAGCAAGTCAGTCATTGAAATAAAATCACCACTAAAACAAAATCTAATAGGAATAAAACTAGATAGACACACAATGTTACCACAATACAAAGTTTTTATGATGCCAGCCCTTCCAGATCAAATTAGGGGCAAGTACTGTTCAAGCATTTTGAAAAGTGCCTCTGGGAATTCCTAGGTTTACGAAATACCATGCAACGACTGCCACATCGGACAGACAGGAAGGAAACTAGCCATCAGAATACATGAACATCAACTAGCAGCAAAACGACATGACGAATTGTCCTTAATATCAGTATACTCAGACAATGAAGACCGTCAGTTTAATTGGGACAAGGTAACCATATTAGCCCAAGCCAAACATAGACACGCACGGGGATTCCTAGAGGCATGGTTCTGCGCCCATAATGCAATCAACAAGCACATAGAATTGGACCTCATATACAAACCTATACAGATCAAAACCATTTTGAGCAGGCTTCTACAGTGACTAAGAATGTTAAGCCGATGAAAGGATCTGCATAGTCGACGTGTAACCAAGTCCAGGGTTTATCCGGCCATTGCCACAAATATCGGGGAGCTGCTGCCTCTAATTTCTGTCCTTGTTGACATTCTAGGCACTGCCTCATCAATGTGGCTATGTCTGCATACAACCCTGGCCACCATACATAACGTCTTGCCAATATCTGAATTTTGGAGATCCTGGATGACCCTCTGACGGCAGTCTTTACTCAGGGCAATCACCCTTGCTGACGCCGCGCACCCCCCCCCCCCCCCCATAGTAATATGCTGTCCTCAACTGTGATCTGGTGTCTCCAGGTCTAAAACAGCTTCAGTTCTTGTTGTGACAGCCTTTTGGTTTCTCCCATCACCGCCAGCTGTTTCAGTTTTGCCAGGATCGGATCTTTCTGCGTCCAAAGTTTGATATTGTCAGCTGTGACTGGAAGATTGTGTACAAAATTTAAAACCATTATGTTCACTTCCAGTGGCAGCACCGCTGGTGGTGTATCTGCTAATCAGAGGTGGCTCAATGCATCCACACTTGCGACTTGGCCTCCCACATGCTGTTCCAACTTGTAATTATACGCACTTAGTATTAGAGCCTACTACTGAATTCGACCTGAAGCAATAGGTGGCATTGCCTTGCCTCTTTAATTAGACCTAGTAGGGGTTTCTGGTCAGTTATTATTACAAACTTACATCTGCCAGGTTACAGGTGGAACTTGCTCACTCCAAATATGACTGCCAAACCTCTTTTCTCCATCTGGGGCTATTTGTGCTTTGCTTTTAGGCAAACTCCGAGATGCATAAATTGTTATGCATTACTCTCCATTGGGCCACACATAATACCAATACTACCCTGATACCATACAGGGAGGCATTGCATATCAATTCTGCATCTTGCTTGGGATCATTTTGTGCCAACACCTTAGAGGATGATAGCTGTCTCTTCTTTCCCTGAAAGCTATGGCTTGACTACTTGACCATTTCCAAGCTTTTTTCAGTTGTTGACATAAAGGTCCCAGGATGGAGGCCTAGGTATGTATGAACTTTGCTGTAAAGATTGGAGCCAGGTAGATCTTATGACTCTGAGATCCTTGATTGGGGTTGTTAGCTTCAGCCAATCAAGGATCCCTGATGTCATTTACCAGCAGGGAATTTGAATATTTTCTAAAGTCAAATATCATTCAGCATGTTTGGACATCTCCAAACCATCCATCATCCAATAGTCTAGTGGAATGAGCAGTCCAAATGTTAAAGGCAGGCTTAAAGAAGCACCCTCCAGGTTCACTCGATACCAAACTGTCTGGTTCCAGTTCAATTATAGGACCGCACCTTATGCAACTACAAGAATAGCTCCAGCAGATTTGCTGATGGGGAGAAGACATCCCACCAGGTTAAGCCTTATATTCCTGCACCTGGAGTGGTGGTGAAATGGCAGCAGGAATGCCAGTGCTGGCCACATGCCTCCTGTAAGTGAGAGAGACAATTTACTTGAGGGGACGAAGTCTTGTGCCAAATCCATGGAAATAGCTCTGCATGGGTATGAGGCGAGGTCAACGCGAGGTCAGGTCCCATGACAAACTAAGCTTGGGTAGATTATACAGTCCTGAACAAATGGGGAAGGGATGTTGTGACTGGAACCAGGTGGATCATATTCACCATAGAGAAGGACTTGGTGGGTGATGAGTCTGAGGAAGGGTGTGTAAATAGTTTTGGTCATGTTGAGATCAAAAGGGAGGAGGCATTGGGGGTCTTGAAAAACATTAAGGTAGACAAGTCCCCAGGGCCTGATGGGATATACCCCAGAATACTGAGAGAGGCAAGGGAGGAAATTGCTGGGGCCTTGAGGGAAATCTTTGTATCCTCATTGGCTACAGGGGAGGTCCCAGAGGATCAGAGAATAGCCAGTGTTGTTCCTTTGTTTAAGAAGGATGGCAAGGATAATCCAGCTAATTACAGGCCAGTGAGCCTTATGTCAGTGGTATGAAAATTATTGGAGAGGATTCTTCAAGACAGGATTTAGTCCCACCTGGAAATCAATGGGTGCATTAGTGAGAGGCAACATGGTTTTGTGAAGGGGAGGTCATGTCTCCCTAATTTGGTTGAGTTTTTTGAGGAAGTGATGAAGATGATTGATGAGGGTAGGGCAGTGGATATTGTCTACATGGACTTCAGTAAGGCCTTTGACAAGGTCTGTCATGGCATGCTGATACAGAAGGTAAAGTCGCACGGAGTCAGAGGTGAGCTTGCAAGATGGATAAAAAAACTGGTTCGGTCATAGAAGACAGAGGGTAGCAGTGGAAGGGTGCGTTTCTGAATGGAGTGCTGTGACTAGTGGCATTTCTCAGGGATCAATGTTGGGACCTTTCCTGTTTGGTTTTTTTATATATATAAAAATTTTTAAAAAAAAATGATTTGGAGGAAAATGTAACTGGTCTGATTAATAAGTTTGCCGATGACACAAACGTTGGTGGAATTGCACATAGCGATGAGGGCCGTCAGAGGATAGAGCAGGATATAGATTTGTTGGTGACTTGGGCAATGAGATGACAGGTGGAGTTTAATCCGGAAGAATGTGAAGTAATGCATTTTGGAAGGTCTAATCAAGATGGAAAATGTACTGTAAATGGCAGAACCCTGAAGTGTACTGATAGGCAGAGGGATCTGGGTGTCCAGGTACACAGGTCACAAAGTGGCAATGCAGGTGGAAGGGGTAGTCAACAAGGCATACGGCATGCTTGCCTTCATCAGCCAGGGCATTGAATTTAAAACTTGGCAGGTAATGTTGCAGTTTCATAGAACCTTAGTTAGGCCGCATTTGGAATATTGTGTTCAGTTCTGGTTGCCACTCTACCAGAAGGATGTGGTAGCTTTGGAGAGGGTACAGAAAAGATTTACCAGGATGTTGCCTGGTATGGAGGGCATTAGCTATGAGGAGAGGTTGGAGAACCTTGGGTTGTTCTCACTGGAACGACGGATGTTGAGGGGGGGACCTGATGGAGGTCTACAAGATTATGAAGGGCATGGACAGAGTGGACAGTCAGAAGCTTTTCCCCAGGTTGGAAGAATCAGTTACCAGGGTCCATGGATTTAAGGTGCGAGGGGCAAGGTTTAAAGGTGATGTACGATGCAAGTTTTTTTACACTGAGGGTGGTGGGTACCTGGAACTCGCTACCTGGGGAGGTAGTGGAAGCAGATAAGATAGTAGTGAGTTTTAAAGGGCGCCTTGACAAATATATGAATAGGATGGGAATAGAGGGGTACGGTCCCCAGAAGGGTAGGGGGTTTTAGTTGTGACAGGCAGCATGTCGGTGCAGGCTTGGAGGGCCAAAGGGCCTGTTCCTGTACTGTAATTTTCTTCATTCTTTGTTCTTTAATTTACTGTGCGATCCTTGATTGGTCCAGATTAACAACACCAATCAGGGAGCCCTGGCTGACAGATATAAACAGGGGATTCAGAGTCTTCTCACTTCAGAGACTGACTCCGAACTGGC